AAAATTAATTCTGACAGAAACCAAGTCTGGACCAGTCTGTTTAGCCTAAAACTGAAGCAATATGAAACTGGGATCAGTTGAAACAGAGTAACCATAGGAACAAAGTGCCTACCTTCACTAGCCCTTGCTGCATAACAGAACAAAAGGAATATAGATTATTCACAAGTCACGAAGAAAACATTTGTTTTACACAGGCACACAGGAACTTAGGTTAAGCAGAGCTGGGAAAACTTAGATGGTTTGGTATGAGATTACTTTCTCCTGGTGCACTTGTCAAACAATTTTGACAAAAGAAATCAGTCTGCTTTTGAAGACTTCTTTTGAAAGCTGAATAACATGATTGCAAAAGAGAAACAGAATGATACGACTGCTACATTAGACAGTATAAAGGCACATAATCCTGCAGACATATGCAAAACCTTCCAGAAGTCTCCACTTGCTTAGAATTACATATATCCCTAAGTCTGAATGACTGAATCCACATTAATCAAGAGATTAGAAAGGAAAATATTTTCTTTAAAGAACATTTTGAATATTTTGATAAAAGCAGCACTCTTAAAATTCTGGGCCTCTTGAAAGGAGAGCAAACAAATAATTTTAGTAGGATATTACTGGAAAAAAAATGCTTGGACAGATTTGCATAAATTGTAATATCTTATCAGTTCTCTAAGATACAGAAGTTGTTTTGACCCAAATAAATGTTAGAAAACATTTCAGTTAACGGAATCTGAATGCAAGAGGGTTTCAGCAAGAAGGCATGTCCTATGGAATTTATACTACAGCAGGACTATTTTTAATCGAAGAAAAACATAAAAGTTACATCATTATGTTTGGGTGTAACTGCCAGACTTTATTAGGATAGTGGAAAAAAGCCACTAAGCTGCTTTACAGAAGCAGACAACCAAAGCAGCTGTTGGACCATTGAAATCACAGTCACTACGCAAAGAAAGGAACACGGTGCTTATTATTTTGTAAAGGGTGTGTGAGAGAAGGGCAAAGAAATGCATTGAGAAGCACCACAAAATCAAACTCGAAGAAGGTACAGAAAACCACCAGCCAGAGTAAGCACCAAAAAGGTGACCCAGACAGAACTGCAGAACTTTCTAGGCTGAGCATTGGCTGAAATCCAGCTTTTTCAGTGACTTAGAACTGTGAGCAAATAACTTCACTCTTACAGTTTGATTTCTCCTGTGTGCTGAGCAGCAGCTCATCTATACACCCTCTTATGTTATTGTTGACACCACAATTAATTTTTCCTTCTAATTAAAATAACCCGCAGGACCCTGTATTTTGGCCAACTGCTTGGGTCAGAGCTGTAACACCACTATTTAGAAGGGCAGAGTCCTGTAAGTCATTGCACCAATGCAGATACTGATCCAGCTACTGCAGAAACTGCAATGAAACAAGCTGTAATTTTAATTCATTGACGGGTCCTACTTGATGTCTTACACGCATATTTAATATATCTTCTTGTCAGATACTGAGAAGTACTGAAAACTCCCTGAAAGACATAATGCTGCAACAAAATAAAGTCAGTAGTCAGATTTGCTTGTCTAGGTCAAACTGCAGGATAATGGATGCTACAAATGTTAAATTCAGCATAAGGATCTTTGGTTAAATGCATTAATGGACCTGAGTATTGTAATATCTAGTTAATGGGGCATGCTACCCAGTGTAATTTAGGATGCTGAAGTGGGAAAAGGGCAGGTTAGGCATATAAAAATTCGAATACCAAAAGTCAGTCAGATGTTGAGCTAGATAGCTCTCTGGGGTACATCTAAGAGCCAACAGCAAATGACAAAAAGTTGCACCTGGGATGAATTTTTGCTACAGAAACAGAATCCTTTTTATTCCTCAAATAAATAAAGTTATTCTTTAGAGCAGGGGAGATGGTCTAGATTCACACTGACATCAGTGTACAGTTGTAACATGTAGCTTCACTTGGTATTTATATCCCAAAAAGTGGATCAGCTCCAAGAAGAAAGTTTCAGAAGCCTGTTCTGGAACACATGTGATGCAGAGCATTCTCCTGAGACATGGAAGACCTGCATTTAACTCCCTGCTCGCAATCAGGTCGTTCAGGATATAAAAATAACCCCCCTGCTAAATGCCATAATCACAGAGCTACTGGGTATAATGAGACATGTACTTATCAAAGCCTTTATGCAAGATGTATAAACGTATGCATAAAGATGTCTGTAGCTGTGCCCTTTGAACATCAGCTGAGATTTCCCACAGATTAGATGGTCCAGGCTGAGAATCCCAGCGGGTTTCAGGCTTTGGGCTGTTAAAAAACTGAACAGCATTGGCATCCGTCTCATGTCTACTATTAGCACTTAAATCCTTAAGTAACTGCATAGCTATGTAGGTCTTCTGAGCCTCTTGGATGTGATCCCTTGACTCTTTTTACCCTGAACAAACACACAGGCTAAGAGGCACGGCTTTGTTCAACTCGCAGGCTGATACCCGCTGCCCCCGATTCGGCGAAACGCTTTACCACAGCATCCCTGAACCGTGATTCATCCGGCTACGCCCGGCGGAGCAGACGGATCCTGCCCGGCGAGCACAGCAACGCAGGAACGCGGTTCTCGGCGCTCCCCGAATCTCCCCCATCCCGCCCCGCAGCCCCGGCCTCAGGGGGAAGGGAGCAAGGCCGCAGCCACCTGCACAACC